TGAGCTTCCAAGCTCTCTCGTTTTATGTGCTGTGTGATCAAGAAGCAGCACTTGTCTTTATGTGGTGTGTGATGGCAAGGTGGCACATGTCTTTCTGTGATGTTTGGAGGTGTTGAATTTGTGTGTAGGGGATGCTTGATGCACAGTGCTACCGTATCATCCGGTGTGCTGATTGTGTTTGTGTTGCACTGTCATGGACCATGTGCACGCGTGTGTGTGTGTGTGTGTGTGTGTGTGTGTGTGCGTGTGTGTTTGCGCACGCGCGCTTGTGTGTGTGTGTGTGTGTGCGTCTGTGTGTGTTTGTTTCAGAGCATGCACATTTGCTATCGGCCTACATGGATGACCTAACTAATATCCTTGTGCGGGCGCTGGTGGACCCTTTCCACGATGTCAAGAAGGTTTGTGTGACTCATCCTAGGAATCGAGATTGTGTATGTGACGTGTGGAGGGGGTGTCTGCTGTTGAGAAGGTTTAGGTGAATTGCTGAAAGTGTGTAGGATAGGCCGGTAGTGTTTACTATAGTCCTTGTCCAAACATAGCATAACAGAAGTTGTGACAGTGGCTACTTTATTGCAGCTGCTGTTGTTGCCACCATCATTATCATGGTTGTTATGTATCTTTATTCTCTCCATGGTAATGGTGGTGCTGCTGCTGCTGTTGCTGCTGCTCATGTTGTTGTACCCAGGTTAGCTGTCAGTGTGTGCAGCGATTAGCAGCGGCAATACCGCGCCAGTTCAACATGCAGGCCGAGTCATTCATCAAGCCTCTCACACAATGCCTTGCACACCAACACTCCAAAGTGCGCGTCGAGGCTCTGCATGTAGGTGACTGTATGTGTTTGTATTATTTGTATTTTGTTGATAGCAAAGGAAAGGACCAAGGAGGTACAGGTTACACTATAATGTCCACTAACACCACCAGTTACTTGACAATCAGCTCATGCGACAACATTGCACCACGCTGACCGATGGTACTGATGTTCTTCAACCAGCTGCCAATCAGCTCTAGCACGTCTCGGATGCGCACTCCAACAGCCTTCCAACTTGGAAGGTTCTAACTTATAGGAATAACATAGGAGGGGAAGTTGTACTTGTATTTACTTCAATATTATTTATGGATTCTCCACAGGCCTTAGCTTAAATCAAGGAATCTCTTTCTTTCTTTTTTACGAAGGCCAGCCCCATTTTATTTTTAACTTTGTACAGAATGTCCTTGATCCTGTCTAATGTCCACTCTATGATTGATTTAGCACTTCGTTATATATACGGCTTTTACCAGTAATATGGGAAAGCCTTGTGCTCACAGTGGAATTGGTCTGTGTGTGTGTGTGTGTGCGTGTGTGTGTGTGTGTGTGTGTGTGTGCGTGTGCGCGTGCGTGCGTGTTTGTGTGCGTGTGCATGCATGTGTGTTTTCAGGCAATGTGCACCACAATTCTCCACGGCCCTGTGAAGTGTATTGAAGATTCCCTGTCTCCTTTCGGTCAGAAGGCATTTGATCAGACGCCAGCAGTGCGGATAGCCCTATTGGAATGTGTTGCACGGATACTGCGAGAGTATGTTGACAGGTACGAACACTGCACCTACACTATCTTGCTGTTTCTAGCATTTTCATGTTGATTGCGAACCATAATGATGTACACTATGGCTCGCCTGCGAAACTATGGAAGCACGGATATTCCGGTCAAATCCGGATTTAGGCCAGACGAAATAAAATCGAGGTTTCCGGGCGAAGTTCCTGCAGCAGTTAGTGCGTGCGGGCGAATTTTTTTGTAAATTTTACAATTTTAGGTGCAGCTCACTATGCATGTAATACGCCATGTATGCATACATTGCACATGATAGCAGAGTATTATACATGTATACCGAGTGCAGCATATACACGCACTCGTTTTAATATAGCATATTATAATTATACACACTTGAGAGGAATCAAAAGCGTTTCTGCTATAACTCTGAGTTTCACGGTAACATATTACAGTCAACTTGGCTAATAACGACTGCGGATATAACGACAATTCGCGAATAACAACAGAATTTCCATGCCCAGAGCAAAGTCTCATCCAACTGTAATACATATAATGAGACTTCGGGTATAACGACACTCCGCGAATAATGACAGTTTTCGGATGCCCCGCCGCCGAGTGTGGTTATAAGCAAAGTTGCCTGTACATGTATAGTGTGTCCATGATCAAGTTGCATGGCTCCTGAACGTAAACCCTGCTGAGGGGCTGGTAGTGGCCTGAGAGGCCATCAGGCTCTGGGCATGGAAGCCAGTCCATTGACTGGCTGGAGGAGATGGGCTGCCTGCCACAGTACGTACACTCCTGGCGGCTGCTCTTTCGAATCTGAAAGGAGTAGTGGGTACTGCGGACATGGTCGACGAGGAACGCTTGATATCCAGAGGCTTTCGAGAGGTCAGCTTTTGTCAACCGATCCATCGTCAAAGAAGCATCAATGGCGTGGTCCTCCTTGAAAAGTCCATTGAGTGCATCCTCTGTAGCTGGGGCATGCAGAATAACCGGCTCCTCTTTCAAGTAGAGCTGCTTGAACTGCTTTCCTACTACATCAACAAGTCCAGCCATGAATGCATGCAGGGTGATAGTGCGGGTTCGAATCCTGTCTTGAAAAAATTGGAGAAATGAAAAATTTATAACATCCCTATGCTTTTTTGCCTAGGTCATCAAGGTGGTAGACGGTGTCGTATTACCCTCGAATGCAAAGAGAAAGTTTATTTATTTCGCTCAGGGCCCTACGCTATGCTTTTTTGCCTAGCTCATCATGCATGTTACTCGAACAGATGGAAACTTTTTGCAATACAATGATGTAGCCGATCAGTTCGTTGTGGTATGGTTGGGCATTGTAGCCGTCATGGTCGACGTAAAACACTATAAGACTGCAACAAAGTTGGGGCCAAAGAGAAATTTCCATCAGTTCTAATAACATGCGTGATGAGCTAGGCAAAAAAGCATAGCATAGGGCCCTGAGCTTCCACGCTCTCTCGTTTTGGTCTGGTCTAATATGTTTGGGATACATCATGTACTCAGTACAAGGCCACCCCGTCTTGCTTTAATATAGTGACTTTTTGTCGCTAGATGGAGGCCGAGAACATCCAGCCTGATGCGAACGGAATTGTTCTTTTATTTGGAGTTGAATTCTCACAAGAAGTGGTGCTAGTCATGCCTAGACTGTACGCTACCCCGCCCGCCCTGAACACCCCGTACTGACCCTGCTGGCCCTAGGGGTGTATTACAGTTAGGCCCTGGTGGTAGTGGTGACTGCGCTTACAGTTGAGAGGTGAAGTGAATGAATGCCATGCCGGGCGCTGTGCCGTCCTAGACCTGCGGACACTAGGACGTGAGCTGGTGCAGGACACGTCAATTTGACTCGCGTGATCGGATTTTGTTGATCAGCACTGTACATTAATCAGCACAAGCGAAAAGTGATACAGTGCTTCTAAAACAGCTGGTGACTGAAGAAGGTGGAGAGCCAACGTTGATGTGCCAATCGGCTTCCTTTTGCTCGATGTTTGTGGGTGACCGACTCTACTGTACCTGTACGCACGTTATGGCAGGGCTGGACTTCTGTCCTATCGCTGGCTCTGAAGTGGCTTGCTCTCTTCCCCGCTACATACATACACTGCATTGCACCTGACACAGATATTCATTTCATCATCGATTACTACCACTACTGGTCAGTGGCCTCACGGACGAAGTCGATGAGATCAAGCAAAGAGCGCAGCAACTCTATCTACAGGTTAGTCTAAACGTCAACAAGTGCAGTCGACCTTGCGAAGAACAACCCTCGACCGTGCATGGGGAAAGTGTCGTTAGTCGCGAGTTGTTATAGTGAGGTCGTTATTCCCGAGGTTGACTTTAATATAGTTCTCCCTGGAACTCAGTACCCAATAAAACCTCTCAAGTACATGTATGAACATCCTGGTAGAGAGACTTACCAGTTCTTTGTGAGGAGATGTGCTGCATACAGGAATGTGTGAAAGATAAGCCTCTACCAGCTGGAACTGAAAGATTTTGTCCAAGTGTGCAAGCAAGCACTAAGGCTAAGGCAGGTCCTACTTTCTAGTACTACGGAATGTATCTAATGTATCTAATGTATCTTATCTCTGATATAGCACATTATACCTATTCCCGTGATGAGGTTTGCATCTTGCAATGGCAAGTACGAGATGAAAGGCTGCAGATCCATGTACGTGCTAGAGACAGAGAGAGACAGAGACACAGAGACACACACACACACACACAGAGAGAGACACAGACAGACAGACAGACAGACAGACAGACAGACAGACAGACAGACAGACAGACATACAGACAGACAGACAGACAGAGAGACAGAGAGACAGAGAGACAGAGAGACAGAGACAGAGACAGAGACAGAGACAGAGACAGAGACAGAGACAGAGACAGAGAGAGAGAGAGAGAGAGAGAGAGAGAGAGAGAGAGAGAGAGAGAGAGAGAGAGAGAGAGAGAGAGAGAGAGGAAGACAGACGGGTGAACAAACAGATAGAGAGTTTTACCTGTGTGATAGTGATATTTTGACCACACTAGATTTGCGAGCCGTCTTTCTTTTCACTACCATTATATTTCTTTGTGTACAGGTTGGAGCTCAGTTCTTGGACGAAAATGAGCAAGACATGAAAGATGAGACAGACTTTGGCGGTCAGCAGTATCAAGGCAAGACAGGTGAGTGTGATTCGAGCGGCCCATAATAACTAAATAACATTACTCCAATGGGTTGGATTTAGATTGCTTTGGCTCTCCCCTTAATATACCGCATATGTTTCCCTGTTGTACCTTAGCCCAGCCTTTCCATTAATGGCAATAGATTTAGAGCTGGCTACTGGGATGTGCAGGTACAGAAAGAGACTGAAGTACAGTATACTTCGCTAATAACGACTGCGGATATAACGACAATTCGCGAATAATGACAGAATTTCCATGCCCAGAGCAAAGTCCCATCGAACTGTAATACGTATAATGAGAC